TTCATGGTAAAATAGTTTACGTTGTACATAAAAACCGAAGCTTAAGATTCGGTTACACTACCAGAATCTTCTCCAGATGAGCTTCGGTAATTAAACAGCTTACTGTACACTGCCAAGTGAAATATAATATGTACTTCACATAGTTGGAATTTATTTTTCAGCTAACCGTTGACTACATGATGAAATACCTTTTAACTATTGTAGTCATGTATTACCTTCTTATGATTCTTTTAGTATAGCCATTTAGAAAAATAATGTATGGAAATAATGCAAATCACAATCCCAGACTGATAATTCCTGTGTGTTTAACCTTCATTTATCTTGAGAATCATTCAACACTGTAAAATTGTTAATTGTATCCGACGAATTCGAATAGTAGGCTTGTAGAGAATATCGGTTTAAACTACTTGGTCTGAGTATTGAGCTACATTCCGCCAACTGCAGTTTTAATGGTAAAACATCATCGCTAACACTCAAATGATACCATTGGGTCAAAGTCTAATGCAAGAAACTGGTGCGCATTGCTCAGTTTCATTAAACTACTAAAAGTAATGAATTTGAACAGTAAGATTTTCGACATTATTATACAATCAGCTTTATTTAGGTTCTGGGAGAAGGTATGGAGACCACACTTGCAGTGATCCGTCATTCGATCTGAGATGACAATTTATAGTACACTGGAGATTGATATTTTACCAGTTATATGTTAATTTACCATTCATTTTATTCGCTAATCAAGGTCAGCCGTAATTATTCTTAACAAAATCTAACGAATTTTTCGTCACAGTGATTATCCCTATAATGAAGGATTGAAGTGTTTGTCTATCCAGAGTGTGGGTTGTTAGAAATACCGGTTAGCATCAAATGAATACCTTGTATTCTAGTCTTCAGTGGTCATTGATATTACGCGCTAATAAGCACTTACATAATAAAGCATTATGTACCAAATCACGTTTACGAATAAGAAGAAAATGAATTCCTCTCATTTAACAGGTGATATGGTTTTTTCTTTTATCAGTTGTACTCCCCATTAAGATGGTATGAAAGTTTATCTCTTGCAAATGAAAAGCCAGATTCACCTCTAATACGTTTGTTTTTCTTCAGTTTTCATGTGGAAGTTTAAAGTTTTCGGAAAAAGTAATTAAATTATTTGAACTGAACACTTTTTTTGAATGAATATGTTTTATTTGAATAGTCTAGATAAAAAGTTCATTTGATTGATTAGTTTATCTACCATTCCTTGTAGCAATACGGTCAATTTAAGGTTCGTCACCTACAAAGACGCCTATTATATGTCATTTTCTATTTTGAAACACTTCAGTAGGATATAGTATTACCTTAGTGAAATCAAAACAAACTGTCCTTAAATTAAGAGAAAGTAGATGATTACTGAATTACTCATCGACACTTTGTGTATGTAACTAGTATTTCGGTACTCATGCAAGCGTAATTCTACTCTGTTGAAATTCAAGTCTAAAAGCCAACAAACTTATTACCACTACAATAGAAAAACAGAGTGAATCAAATAGTGACACCGACCAAATCTATTTCTGTCAAAACTTACGTATTTAAAAGAGTCATTAAAGGGACATCAGAATGTACTTATCATATTAGTAAATAAGTAAGTCGAATAATTTTTAAGACATCGTGCAATTCCAAGAAGCTTTTCCATCTCAAAAGTACTGGAAACCAAGTGAAGCTCGTCAACAACTTTTTTTTAGGAGCAAATACTAATTCTGAAGAAAGACAACAGTTTACATGGGTACAGCTTGTATCAACATTTATTATCACGAAACAAATATACTGTTGTACGAAATGTATTTCTGTGTCTTAATAATAATAATAATAATAATAATAATAATAATAATCGCTTTATTCCAAACAATATGCATGACATTACGTAATTCCCAGCGTGTAATTTTTTAACAACTTCACTCCCAGAACAATACTTTCAGATGAAACGGTTATTGCATCGGAATGATGTTAACAATCACAGTATTCAAGGCAATAATATGAAACAGCCAGTTGGTTCTGGATGGCCGTCTGGTCCATAATGATGAACCAATAGAAATGCAAGCGTAATTTTAGTGGTGGTAATTCATTCAGACGGTGCAAAAATCTGTAACTCAAGTTAAGCATCTAACTGATAGAAACATAATGCACTCTTTTACACCGAAAATTCCATCTCCGTATGACGTTACGTTTTTTCGCTGATTTGTTATTGACTCAAGAAATGGAGAATTGAAAACAGTTTTAAAATGTGCCAGAGTACATGACACGTTCAAAGGACATATTTAAATGATTAAAACAAATTGAAAAGAAAGAATATGATGAAAAATGTTTAATGGATAAATTAGGTAGCCCAAGGCTCAAGCAGGCTGCCGTATCATGTCTTACTTCTATTCTAACAACAACATGCTTATCTTGATAAAAAAACGAAACATATTAAACTAAACCATGAAGCAAACTTCTTGACTGGTGTAATTCGGTAACTGGATTACTATTTTATAGCAAGCGGAAACTAAACTCAGACTTCATGATCTATCTAAGACCACAGATATAGTTTACGGCACTCGTCACACAAATTTCTAAAATCCAGCTAATCTCTGCCGCTTAATCAGTCATGGAACAAAAGCATTTCAGTAAAACAAATACTCAGATGAAATTCAAACAGATAACTGCTTGCTTTTGAAAAACCTGGTGGGCAGTTTATTGTTGGAAAAATATCTCATACCTACGTCAAAGGCGTTAGATAAGATCAAGATGGTTAAAAGATTGAAGCTATGCGACTACTACTCAGTTATCCTGTTTGCCTATTAGATGAAGATGAAGTAGGACATTGAATTGAGTAAAGACTCACTGATACTTGACACATTTAATTCACTTGAATTGAGTCGAGAAACTGTATGGTTAATCAACCTGAGTTTTCTGGAATAAAATAAACATGTTTATACCTTTGGTCATTTCATGAGCATCAAAAAGGTTTAGTTAATGAGTTAAGCAAAACTTCATCTATAACTATTCGTGTGTCATCGGTTTATCACCGCTGGTGTTCACCATACTGCCGTGTGTGCTTAATGTTTAACTCAAGGTTAAAAATAGTACATGTGAGAATATCGATTAAGACTACGCTCAGGATTACTTATTCCGTACACTGTTCGAAAGAAATACCAGTTGCGCCACATTAAGCCTGAATGACAATATACCGAATACCGGCAGTGATTCATTGTTCGAGGTCATAAGTGTCTAAATGTAAAGGGACCAGGTTAGTAGACACAATTCATGAATAGATAATTGATAAGCGCTTTTTCTTTTTATCCGTTTATATCTTTGTAATGATTTTATAACTTCTCATGTCGATCAAGAAGCCTTATACGATTGTCTCAAAGGAAGGCGTGGCAGGTAAATACACCATCCTGTTGAAAGCTCTCTGTTTGAATACTCATAAGGAAGTTAGAGTCTACAGTCAAGTATCAAATAGATTGTGTACGTCAGGTGGTGTCCGTCAAGAATATCTACTCTCTGCATTCTCATTTCATTTTTCCATAGACGTACTAATGGAGAACTCCTTCTCGTTTCAGTTCACAATGTTTGACCTTATCACAGAAGTCTTTTCGGTAGACCTATCGAAGGTAAATGAAATATCCCTTTTAAATGAATATGCTGACAGAATGCAGTGTCTTTCGTACACCATGTTTGTCAGTTTAGGGATTTTTGAGATCCGCTTCTCACTACCCAAACGCAAATTGTAGGTCTGCTGCAGTGTCTCTTCTAGTAATGGGGGGTATCCATTAGCCGCTACACCTACACTATAAGTCAGGTCAGATTTGTTTATTTGATACACAGCGCACAGGGATACAGCACGATTTATTTATTTGTTTATGTATTATCGAGTAAATAATACTGTATCACTATGCGCTATATATCAAATAAAGAAATCTGATGTGGAATTGAATTCTACCATCCATGAAGCGCTAGTCATCAACACGAAAACAAATCAGCTGCTTGACTCCTGCTGACCTTTGCCACTTATCACGCTACTGTCACCTCGGTTTGACCATTGACAGCCGAGTTTATTACACTGCAGTTTGCCCTATCCTACTATCTAACTGTGTAAAATAACTTGGAATGACAGAGGATTTGAGAAGGCTCAGATTACGATTGTCTTCGTACCATAGGCCGTATATCATTGTGCCAGCACATCAACAATGTCGATTCCAAGTGTACAGTTATAAGCAGAAAAGGAAAGTCACTTCATGTTGTTGTGGACTTTTATGGACTCAGGTGCCTGGGATATATGAAATGTATGCTCGGCCACTATCTACCTCATCGCATCATATTAGCTGCAGTAGGTATATTCAGGAAGAAAGTTCATGAAGGTTTGGACTTGGTGTGAGCCGGTCAAAATTCATAAGACAACTGATATCGTTAATTGGAGACTGTAAGTTATATGGTTTTGAATCGGTATCAGTGGTGCAGATGCATCCTCACAATATCTCCATCCTTAATATCGAATTCTATTTCGATATTGTTTTATTCGTTGTTTTTCTACCTTTTTTGATGAATATCATGCTTATTTCTATCTTTCATCCGCATCCCCACTTCCTTGATGAGATGGTATAAGTGTGCCTAACTGACCTATTCAGTAGTATTGCGAGGTCCCAAGTCGGTACAAACTAAGTGACCTCAAGCTACAGCAAGTGCTTTAGCTTCAGACTGCTTATTATCTGTCGAGTTGTCACCAGTGTATCGAAACCTATGTTCCGTTTCCAGTGGCTTTGAAACACAGAAGAACATTGTATATCTTGTGTGTTTGATGTCTTTTCACTCTGATTATTAAGGTGTTGCTAGGCTCATGAAAAACAAGTATCACCTGCAAATATACAAGAGTAATTTTCATGCATAACAAAACTATGTATAAATATGTAATTATTTTTTATAAACCAATTAAAAGTGTTAAAGTTATACTTTCATTTTTATTTCCAATACATCTATTTTAGTACTTCTTGGTGTCATATTGATAGTTTTAATTGGTGTATTAATCTATTATTGTCGTCTACGGCATAGACGTTATGAATGTGCCTATGATACTGAAGAAGCTCTTGGAAATAATTTCACGTCCGCTGAACATGCTCTACAACAAAAATATCATAATCATCCTGATGTTAAAGCAGAATTGTATATTTAACTAATCACTATTTCATATAGTAATAATAAGGATTCAAACGTTTACTCCTGCTGAGGATGAAGAATAATATTTCCCGACATATAAAGAAGACTATTTCATTGATATTCCAGTAATTTTGAACCATAGTAAAAATAATAAATCAATATTTGTATATTTTGTTATCTATCATGTATATATAATACATATTTTAAATCTAATCGACTCAGAAATCAATATTTCACATTGTATAGACAATTTTCTATTTTTAGTATTCTGCTAAATAAACATTACTATCTCAATCAATTTAAATGTACAAATAAATTCAATCTCTATCCCTTTATTCATTACTTCTTGTGTCAAAGTTGTACAGAATATAGACTGTCTAATATATCTTGATAAGATGTTGTCTTTTTTATACTGAAGAAAAATGAAACTACACATTTAAATCTACACATATTGGTTAAAAAGGTTATTATATTGGACATTGAACAGAACAAATGACAATAATGATTGTTCCTTAGATTTTTCTCTTGATAAAGCTTTTAAATTATCAATGATACTTACTGAAGTACCTTTTAATTTTCAACTTGATCACTTTCACTTTTTAAAATTGGTACAAATTATTTTTTTGTCTATTAGCTGTATATTGTTCATATATTAGATATTTAAGATAATTTTTTTAAAATGGAGACTGAATTAAATTTTCAATATAGACAAAATAAATTATAATTTTTAGGATTATAAGAATAATTAACCTTGTAGTTTTGATTGATAAAAACTATTATTTTACTCTTTTTCCATTGAATTATGATTACTCTGAGTTTTGATTTTTTTTTGTATTACAATGGGTTTTTCTTTCTTCTTTCACACTTGTTGCCAGCTGACATAAAGAACGTTTTTAAGCACTTCACCTAATTCAGATGATTGATAACTTGTATGCATTGTTGTTTAGTAATCTATAAATATAATTGATCAGTCCTAAATGATGGACAGATATTGGAAATCTTAAAACGAATCGTCTTGTTTCTTCAACTGTGACTGCGCCTTTGACAGACCTCAACAAAAAGATGTATCTGTCTCCAATCTTGACTCATAAAAATCTGTGTTTATTTGTCTGGTCATCATGAAGCTCTTCTCATTCTTGGTGTTATTGTGTTCTCTGAGCTGGGTTGTTTAGTCATGGAGCTTTTATCGTCATTCTAGACGACACATTCAGCACTAACTTCATTATAAAGTGAGCAAGCTAGTAAATCAGTAACAGAGAGATACTGATAACTCACTTCATACTGAAGTTAGTGCTGAAGAAGTCTTCTAAAAAGACGACAAAAGCTTCACAACTAGACAAGCCATCTCACAGAACATAGTGCAACTAACACCATCCACTTGAGCTGCAAATACTCTTCATCATTTCTTCTCATTCTTCTTCATCATCTTCACCTAGCAGTGTAAGTTGAGCTATGAATCGGTCAACTGACCACCACTTCACCACTCCTCAATCCATTTTCCCAACTTAAACATTCAAAAACCAATAATACTCACTGATCCTTCCAAATCCTACGTTTATCCCCTGTAGCTGTGCCGATGAACGTGAGATGCTGATGAATTGTAAACTTTATCTTTTATACACGCATTTCATTTGTGCTTCAACTTGCATATATGCACAAACGTTGTCCAAGCTTTATATAACCATTCCGACCAGGTCTGATGTAATTTTCCAAGTAATTGAAGTGACCAACATAAACAATCACTTTATTGCTGATCTGCGATATAGCAGTTTCCCGATGGTCATGTGAAAAGCATATTCTAAGTGTCGTCCAAGTAGAAGTATCTAGCATGTGTATAATACCGCAGAAATGTGATATCTTCAAATTTACTGATTTTGAGCCAATTTACACGGTCGATACTACTCAATAACACTGTCGTACACCATTTCACAAGGTCAACTAACATAAAAACTTGATATGGCTTACGGTGTGATGAAACATTACCAAGTAGGCAGCCTTCAGCCAAGTGTTTTTTAGGTACTGCATCCAATTGTCAATACTACAATAAATATTCCAACCAATATGACCCATTTAAACATTTAGGGAAATAAACATCGGTATAACTTAGCTCTTTATCTTCTAGGACGAAACAGCTGTCCATTGCTCCTAAGTTTTCAGTGGCCAGTCGGTGGTGGATACGAACTTGAAATCAATAAGTTCCACCAGACCTCTAAATCGATATCCCATCCACTGCTCATCATCAACATGTTTCTGGACGAGATTCCCTAAAGTTCGAGGGTGAAGTCGTAACTAGTGACATAGGTCAAGTCGGACAGGAAGAAAATTACTTAACAGTGGCGTTGAGTGAAGTAGGAAAATAGTGAGCACTCAGTTTCAACCCAGTGTATCAATGGTAAAGTGCTTTCCACAAAAACCTGAGAGTCCTGTGTTCCGCTTCTTGTCACGTCATGGGTACACACTACGGAGGAGTTCCTTTCTAGAATGGCAAAGCTCTCCAGCGCTCGCAGACCCTCAATTGTTCTTTAATTGATGTCAGTCAGTTCGTGATGAATACTTACTTGAAATCTTCATGGCATGTTTGTGTCTTTCATTTCGAATCATGATGGAGTTCTCACTGATGCATCCTTTGCTAGCTTTAAAACCTGATTTGTTTCATTGCCTTTTCTAATATCAACCTACATTCAGCTGCATGCAGTAATGCATCAAAGGGTTTCATTTATTGTAAACCGCTGTGTTTTCATTATGGTTATAATTGAAGGATCTTGTCCTCTTTGTGAAATGAAATGCTAAAGACAAACTTTAAGTGGCTCTGCTTTATGAATATCGATATTTTGCGCCGAGAGTAGTTACTTAAATTGAACGGGAAGATACAGATGGAGATTAGTCAAGTGAATATGCTTAAGATAACTGAACTGCACTAACAGGCTGATCAAGAAACCACTCAGTTTCCACTATTGACAGTTTATAATTCCAGCAACACCACGGAAAAAACTCATCCACATGTGGAAATAGATAGATTATATTTCGTTAGGATTTAGCATAATTTCACAGCAAAAGTTGGTTAGTTATCGGTTCGAAATCTTGTTAAGAAATATTAAAAGATATCCAGTCAATGAAATTTAGCCTCCTGAAATCTAAGTATTATTTTCCTCAACAACTGACTTTATCTCCATATTGACGTCTATCAGAAGTGGATTTCATGAAATCATAGCTGCATAAAGTAGTTGTAAATTAGGAAGAAAGACAATGAGACCACATTATTGTAATGTGAACCCTACAGATTGTTCACACATTTACTTTAGTGAACGCTCAAATCCGAGGCAAAGAAATGAAAATCTAGAAAAGGAAGCACAATACTTCTTTACCTAGCAAGCTAACTCTACGAAAGCTTTGAATCTTAAAAATATTACTTACATTATTCAACTGATAGTGATAGCAAGAAGAATCTGCCCAGATGAAACTCCACGGAGTAGTGGAAATGTTATCTTCAACCACTCGAAAGAAACCACTATTCATAAAGCTGCAATTTAATAGTGATATACTTAGTGAGATTCTATCCCACAGATTGTCGAGAACCATATAAAGAACATTTTATGCAGTTAATCTCTGTCTATCGTTTTCTAGTCGACGATTTACTTCGTATCAAACGAAGGACAAGCTGTCTAGTCTCGCTACTTCCGTGTGTATTTGCTAGCTTAATTGCTTCTGTGGAGACAGTTATATCGGGCGTAAGACTAGGCAACTAAAATAACGTATTACCAAATACCTACATTCGTGGCTGGGTAAATGACAGGTTAAATCTACAAGAAGCTCTATCTTGTTGCATCCGGTTGACAGAGATCACATAGTGGGTAAGACGAGAGCGTTTAAAATGATTTACTACATTCTATCGATGGAGTTCAAATCTGCCCTTTTACATAAACGTGAGGCTATAAGAATCTGATTCAGCAGTCCAAATCCCAGTATCCAGAAGAAATTTGTACAGCCTTTATCCCTACCTTGGTCAAGGAGAACCTAGTGAATGATCTTACATATGGATTTTAAAATATTTTTCTCCTTCTTTTTATTCTCGTTTCCTTTTTTCACCCCTTTCATACCACTACTATATTCGCATTCAAATCTTATCTATTCACCGCCATCATCCTCCAGTATCACACAACCTTATTGTCCTGTTTTAGTCTTTGATCAGCTTTGTCTGTCTGTCTGTTTGAACACTTTTTTACATTGTCGTTATCCAGGACTGAAGTGAAGCTATGACTCAGAATTACTCGTGCCTAGACTAGTATAACTGAAGTACAAACAGCTAAACATCTACCAGAATTCTATCTGGAGATTTATCATTTGATTTTAGGTTGGAATTCATCATGGAATGATAGTAGTTGGAGGAACACTGGAAACCTGGAAGTACTGGACAGCTGTTTCGTCCTCGTATGTAACTCCTCAGCTATGCACATTCAATACATCATCGTTCCAATGAGAAGTCGTGACTAGTGGAGTCATCCAAATCGAACATGAGAACAGTTACTCAACGACAACATTGGACTTAGGCCGCGCTATATGATGAACTGGCAGAAGTAGGAAATATAGACCACTTCATTCTGACCCGGTGCCGGCTATGAAACCTAAAGGTCCTGAGTTCGATCGCTGGCGGCGGGGGTGCTCAGTGGTAATGAGTCGTATACTAGAACGAACTAGCTATCCAGAGCTGCCAGATTTTCATTGTTCCTCCAAATGATTTCAGTCCATGATGAACTCCAAACTAAATAATAATATCCTGACTTGCCATATGCAACCAATTACATACTACTGAAGAGGTAAACAGCTTGATAGATGATAAGTTCAACATAAGGCTGAATCAAGCAGGTGATTGCAGCCAATAAATTTTAACAATATCAAATTGTTCCCATCTATGTGTCTATGACGACTGTAGAAATAGGACATTTGTGTTTGTAAACAATGACTGCAAAGTCGTAGTGGTTCATATGAAACAAAGAAAATGGATTGGAAATTTTTTCG